GTCCAGACCAATGACTTTGTTGGGTGGAGAGCTCCAGGTTAATAATTCCCTCTACCAGCTCAGCAGCTTCTCTGCCACTTAGAGATTTGCCAGGGAGAACTGAGTGGTTCATGGCATAGTGGATAGGCTGCTAGACTTGGAATTAGGAAGACCTAGCTTCAAATCCCATCTCAGACACTAGTTATGTCACTCCATGACTTCTCCAGGGTCACATAGCCTTGAGTTATATAAATCAAGGCTTCTTAAACTTTTTCTCCTCGGGACCCTTTTTTGCCTGATAAATTTTTACGGGACCTCAGGTATATGGGTATATAAAATAAGTATACAAATCAAACATTTACTGGTAATAAATAATAAAGAAATTTATCTTAAAACAATTCTTTGGTATACATATAATTTTACCATTCATTAAAAACAAAAGCAAATTTGCATGCTAATGAGATAGATGTGCTTATTTATTTTTACATAAAGAATTAAATCTTGGCAGAATATTTGATACTGAAGTACATAGAGCATCTTCAATGTTTTTCAGAGTTGATCAATATTTGGTTTTATAATCAATTGTCAATGCTGAGAATGCCACTTTGCATAAATACATAGTACAAAATAACAGAAGTATATTTAGGGCCATTTCAGAAATTGCTAAAAATTCTGTCCTAATCTCAAGCTAAAATGCGTTTAACGATTTTGTGTATACAGTAAAAACGCTGCAATTCATAACATAGAGTAGTCTCAAATCTGAGCTGAGGTGTTTCTGGCAGTGTTCATTGGTTTGGTGTGGTGTGACAGCATGTGCAGTGCAAAATGTGTGTGTTGTATGTTCCGAACCAAGGCTGCAGTAAAGCTGCTCCATGCAATGTGGGCAAGCACTGCCAGAAATGCCTCGGATTTGTGACATGTTTGATTTTTAAATAATTGTTGGTCATTAATTTTGGTTAATTTTTGGTCATTAATTCACTGTGATTAGAAACCTATTATTATTGCCAAATTTTTCATGACCCCCACATTCAATTATGGGATCACGACCCACAATTTAAGAAACACTGATATAAATGTTGTTATTAGTATTGTTAAGTTGTTGTGGTTGTTGTTATTGTTATTGTTCAATGACCACCTACAATAGGTCTCAGGCATAGAGATGGAAAGATATTCAGCGCCCCCAAGAATCAGGCCGGGTTAGGAAAAGGACCCATGTGTATTTCATCCAAGAACCTAAAGATAAATGTGCCCATTGGGTGGGAGACACTGGTGTAGTGGGAAAGGGTCCTGGATTGGAGCCAGAAATTTGGCCTAAGTCTCAGATCTGCCACTACTCAGCTTGTGTGATCTTGGGCAAGTCACTGCCTCTTGGAGCCTTACTTTACTGATCTTCAATTAATTAAATATTTGTTTAACAGCATACCATGTGCCAGGCACTGTATACACTCTGTGATCTGTATGGAAAATGAGGATGATGCTTGCTTGGGCTTCCTATGAAGACTGTTAGAAAGATCGGTTGAGATAATTATGATGGCCAATATTTAAATAACTCTCCCTCTCCGGTGTGCCTCAGTCCTTTAATGTGCTATCTTCTTCTATTAGAGTGTAAGTTCCTTGAGGGCAGGAGCTGTCTTTCTGTTGCATTTGTATTCCCAGTGCTTAGTTTAGTGCTTGGCACACAGTCGGCCCGTAATAAACCCAAGCTGGCTGGCTGACATGCATTAACATTTCATTCTCAACCGCAGCGGGGAATGTGTTTCATCTGGACTTGAAAAGGATCTGAGGTTGAATCCACCTTGGAGAAAGACCTTAACCTCTAATTTTCCTCATTTCTAATCTAAGGTTTTTGTGCTCTCAAAGATGACTTCGAACGTCTCTTCCAGCTCCACGGATCCGTCACTTCCTACTTTGAGCTAGTTTGGGGCTAGTTACGATAACCTCTCTGAGCCTCAGCCTCCTCGCATCTGATTTATACATAGTTATTTGCATAGGCACTTGTTATATTTCCCCCATTAGATTCTGAGTTTCTTGAGAGCAGGGACTGTCCTTTGCCTTTCTGGGTTTTTTTAATTTTTTGTTTGTTTGTTTGGCGAGGCAATTGGGGTTAAGTGACTTGCCCAGGGTCACACAGCTAGTGTCAAGTGTTTGGTCTGAGACTGGATTTGAACTCAGGTCCTCCTAACTCTAGGGCTGGTACTCTATCTACTGTGCAACCTACCTGCCCCTTTGCCTTTCTTTGAATCCCCAGACCTTAGCATGGTGCCTGGCACATAATAGGAATTTAATACATGCTTACCATCTGCAGGTGAGAGGGATAGACTCACTTTAATATCGCTTCTAATTCAAAATCTATGAGCCTACTTACAGATGAGGAAATGTGTTCTACCAGCTTAAATACTTTACCCATCATTACATAGGTAGTAAGCATCAGAGGTGGAATTCCAATCTAAGTCTTTCTTCCTGGTTCCCAGCCAGGCATTCTGTCTGCTACTCTACTCTTCTCTAATGTAGAGAAAAGGTTGGTAAGCCTTAAAGTATCATAGAAATGTCAGTTGTTGTTATATTACATCCCTATAGCACTTTATGGTCACAAAGCACTTTCCTCAACATTACTTATTTAAGGCTCACAACAGCCTTGTGAGGGATGCTGGGTAGGGATATTTGTCCCTATTTTACAAAGGAGGTTAATGCTTCTCTCTTTAGTCAATAAAGGTTTTCTGGAGGTGGTAGGATTCAGGGCAGGAAAGTTGAGGATATAGAAGGAGGGAGGATAGCGCTTGCATTAATTGCCAACAATGACATGAGTTCCAATGGAATGAGCTTGACAAGGCTGCTCTTCAGATTCTTGAAAATAATAAAATCCTCTCCATCAGCTCTAATGTCCTAAAAGTAACAATAGGTATCCTCCCTAGTCCAGTGGAGGAGCTAGAAAACTTAAATGCCTGTGGATGAACTCAGGTATTTAAATAGACTGGTTGAGGAAGGATAGTCCCTACTCTCTGGTTCTGCCATTACCTTGGCCAACTAGAGGAGGGAGCATGATAAGAGTGTTTAACTTGGAATCATGGGAACTAAGTTTAAATTCTAACTCTGACATTTGCTACTTTTTCAATGTTGGATTAGTCACCTAACCTCTCTGGGCCTCAGTTTCCTAATATGTAAAATGAGAGGCTTTGACCAGAAGGCCTCTAACATCCCTTTAGGTTCTAAATCTATGATCTTATCACCCTAAGTCCCTTCTCCTCTCTGGGTGTTAAGTTCCTCAACTGTAAAATTAGAAGGAGGTTGGACTGGGTAATTTCTATGGTCCCTTTCAAACCCACAATTCTGCCTTTCCTGATATATTCTGACATTTTCTACCTCTCTGTTAGAAAAGTAAATCATGGTTCTAAGCAGGAAGTATTTTCCATCCAAGTTTGCTGTGAATGAAAAACTAGCAGTGCTTGTCAGCTGGCCTCAAAAGTCGTAAAGATTGCCCAGAGCTGTGTTCTCTTTGGGGGAGGGGAGGAGGGGTTGTCCCAACCACCCTCAATGGTTTTTCAGGAAGTGCTGAAAGTAAGAATTCACTTTGTACATTGTTTCCCCCACAGCATATAAGCTCCTTGAGGGCAGGGAATGTGCTATGTTTGCATTCCTAGTGCCTAACACTGTATCTGACATATGCCCAGTAAGTCAAACTACCACATCCTCCACTCACACCCTGACGGAGAAAGCTCAGGAGCCTAATTCCCAAAACATTGTCCCTGCTTCCAGCCTGGTCTCCACAATCATTATTGCAGGGAGCCACCCCTGTGGAAAAGGGGGTCAGTCATTCCTATCAATTGCTATCGATAGGTTAATGAAGCATCAAGGCATCCTTAGGGAAAAAGAAGAGGCAACATCTGCCCAGGGAACATCTGCCCCTCAGACCTTGATGGAAATAGCCTGGCACCTCAGGCCCAAGAGTCTTGGGAATAGCAATGCACCTCAGACTACTGCCCCTGCTTCCATCACAGCCTGCATCACCTTGTTGGAGGGGGGCAACCCCTGTGGATGATGAACCCCGCCATCCTTAGCACCACCAACAGCTTCTGACCACTGATGGGGGGGTAGCCTTAAGAGCCCCAAGAATAGCATCACCTTCCAGAACACTGGCTCTACTTCCAGCCCAGCCCCCATAGTCATCATCTAAGGAAGCAACCCTTATATAGATGAAACTCTGTAACTGAAGAGCCACTTCTACTGAAGATATGGAAAAGACACTATCTGAGTAAGTCCTTGAGGATGTCAAATGGTTCAGAAACAGAAGCAAATATTGTTTTTTAACTGGGAATGACCTTAAAGAAGATGCATTGCCATCCACTTTGCTTCTGTACACTAAGGACTGTAGGGCCTTTCCATCTGGCTTGCAACTGAATTGTCCCATATGTGTTGTCTCCTCCAATTAGAATGTGAGCTCTTTGAGGGCAAGACCTGTTTTGCTTTTGTATTTGTAACCCTAGGATTAGCTTATTACTTTGGACATGGTAAGTACTAAATAAATGCTATTTCCATATTTTCAAGAATCTTTGCTGGCTTACATGCTCAACTGATTGATTGGTAGAAGGGAACATGTCCTTAAAAAGACAAGGTGTGATGGAAAGATCCCTGGCCTGTGGGTCAGGAGATCTTCTTTTAAGTCATTTCCCCCCTCTGAACCTGATTTTCCTCTTTTGTCTCTTAAGTTGCTTCCTGATCATCTACGATCCCTTAGTCTTTTCCAACAGTGAGTTTGAAGGAGAAGGTTCTCTGTCCCACAGAAAGTATTTTTTTAAAAATCCAAGGTCTCTGACATTCATTCTTTTATATTGTGGTGGCATGTTCCTAGATATGGGACTTGTAAGGACCTTAGAGAGAGATCATGGCAACCTACCTTTTCGTTTTACAGAGGAAGAAGGTGAAGCCCAGAGAAAGAAAGTGATTTCTCTCATTGTTCCTTTGGCTGCAAAGGGGAATGGACTTTATCAAACTCAATTCTCCCTCTGTGTATCACTGCCTTCCAGAACGTGTATTACACAAGCAGTCAGCAGCTCCAACTAGGCGTCCTGAGTCCCACTGTCGATGACGATGACAACAGGTGCCTGGTGGATGTCAACAGTCGGCCTCGGCTCATTGAATGCAGTTATGCCAAAGCCAAGAGAATGAAGCTTCACTGGCACTTTTCTCAGGTAATATCCCTTCCCAGCTACTGCCCTTGACATATCCCAGGTCCTTTGGGTACTGAGCTTCACCCCCCTGACCACCAGCACACCTAAGTACATCCAAGCTGTTCAATACTCTTGGCCCCCTCTCAGAGCCCCAGAGGATGAAAGGACTTACCAGGAAGACTAGAAGGGGAATAGGCATGGGAGGTTATACAGTGGTGGTCCTTGACATGAGGTTTAATGGACTCCCCAAATGAATGATTATATGGCAACCCAGCAACTCCATTAGTGAGAAAAAAGGAGAAAGACCATGCATAAGATTTATATGTTACAAATGAGTTTATTAGATATTCTTTACTGCTGGCCAGAGGCCAGCACACCACCCCAGGAGGTCCCTCAGTTTGCCTCCAGATTGGGGTTATGATGTGACAGCTTCTCCTCCTTTCTCCTTTGTGCAAGATAAGTCCCATATCTGAACTATGTTAGGCTTCTTCCTTCCTTTTCAGTATTTCCAAGATAGTTCTGGTGGGAAATGAGGTATCATCTACTACCTTCAATTCCAAATCTACTTTGGGATCCTTGAGGAAAGTAATTTGTTGAGTGGTGTGAGACTGTCAGACTCAAACATAGCCCAGTTTATTCAAGATCGTGTAACAAAGGAGTTTTGGACAATCTTAGCTATGAGCCATTTGGGTCCAGGTGGATGCATCTTATGAAATTCTCATTGGAGACCTAAGGGAAGACCTTCTCAGCTGGCTTTTGGAGTGAAAGAGAAAATAAGAAATAATAATAGGTACCATTTAGATAATGGTTCAAGTTTTACAAAGTGCTTTTCATGTTATCTCACTTGATCCCACAAACAGTACAGTGAGGTAGGTGCTATTATTATCTCCATTTTACAGATGGGAAAACAGAGGTAGAGAGAGATGAAATGCCTTGGCCAAGATTACATTATTAAGTGTCTGAGGTAGGCTTTGAACTCCAGCTTCCTGACTCTATACCACCTGGCTACCTCAACAAACAAATAAAATGGTATAGTTATACAGGACAGTTGCCAGTTCTAAATGTCCTAGTTAGTGCCAATAGGATCCCCAAGAAAGGCTAAAAAGCCTTAGAGAGAAGTTGGTGGTTTTTATTCCCTTGGGACTCTCTATATGAATGCTAACTCAGAGTCTATAAGGGACAGGGAATAAACTGCTAATGCATAAAGATCCTAACAAGAGGAGAAAGGCCTTCATTATTAATATAGCTGCATCTAAATGTGTGTAGGCATGTATATATTTTCTAGCAAGCAAGATCAATTCATTTACATTCCAGAGAGTGAGGAAGGAAGCACTTGCACTTTCAAATTGTAAGAAGTAAAACCATATCCTTATACACATAATGAAAAGGGTCAAAGAAACTGAGACCCAGACATTATGGTTTAAGGGGCCCTATAGCAATTCTCCTGTATTTATTTTTTCTTTACCAAAACAATAGATAAAGGGTTCTTAACCCTTTTTGGTTTTTGTATCCCTTTGGCAGTCTATGGATCCCTTCTCAGAATAAAAATTTTAAATGTAAAAAAAAATAACACAAGATATATAATAAAGAAAACCAAAATTTAGCCAAAATAAAGAGGTAGTTTTTCCCATCTAAGACTCCCTGAAACCTATCCACAGACACTCTTGGGAGTCCATGGACCCCAGGTTAAGAACCTGAATTATCCTTGGGCCTGTATTTCATGGTGTATGTGTTGAAAGCCTGATGGGAGTGGCTGGATCAGGAAGCTTGGCAAACCCCGACCATGGTTATCTGGGGGCATTACCACCAAAAAGAAGCAGGGGATACCTGCCCCTAACCCCCCCCCCCAAATCAACAAAAACAAATAAGCATACAAACCAATCAGTGTCAGTTAAGAAGTATAGAATCAAGTCGAGTCAGATAAACAACCAGCTCCCTAATACATCATCAACTTTGACTTCCTGATACCCTGGGGATTCCTGTGGGTCTGAACACCACCACCACCATCATCATCCCCACCATCACCATCACCACCATCATCATCCCCACCATCACCATCACCACCATCATCATCCCCACCATCACCATCACCACCATCATCATCCCCACCATCACCATCACCACCATCATCATCCCCACCATCACCATCACCACCATCATCATCCCCACCATCACCATCACCACCATCATCATCCCCACCATCACCACCACCACCATCATCATCCCCACCATCACCACCACCACCATCATCATCCCCACCATCACCATCACCACCCCCCCTTGCACCTATTCTTCCTCCTCATCTTAGCCCAAGGATCTTGGTATTTTGCAGACGACCAGGTACAAACCCTGCCCGGATTTTCAGCACATGCTTGCTATCCTCCTAACACTGCCTCCTCTGCTCTCGGTAGAGATGCCCTTCCCCTTCCTCAAGGGACTGCCTAGCCATCAACATCTGCCAACCTTTTCCAGGCAAGACATGATCCGTGGCCCAAACTCCAGTGGTCCCGTGGGCTCAGGTTTCTGCCTGATTGAGTCACACGAACATCAGCAGCCTGCATCTCCTTCCTACCGGATCAAACGACTTATAACTATAAATTCTTAATTTTCTAGATGAAAATTGGCAAAGCGAGAACATGAATTTGTGTTCTGTGATGCTGAGGTCAGGGTTTTTCCTCTCTATACATGAGCCTGTCCACTTAGACTATCCCAAGTGCCAGGCAGAACCATTGGGTTGTACCTATGACATTCCAAATGCACAATGCAGTAGGCTGAGGAGAAAGGAGCAATGTTACCATTGACTGAACTATCTCAGGCCAGGGAAGCCATTGCTGTCTCATTTCTGTCCTAGAACCTCAGAAAGCACCCAGTGAAGGTGGTATCTGAACAGCAATCTCTCCTACAATAGTCTTGTCAAGCAGTCATCTGGTCTTTGCTTGAACGGAAATAGAATGGTACAATGGAAAAAACCCTGACTGGGGCCAAAGGAGCTGGCTTCAAATCCTACCTTTGAGTACTGGATTTGAAGTCACAGGACCTGAGTTCCAGCTTTGAGTCTTTCTTGCTGTATGACCTTGGGCAAGTCACTTAGCTTCTCAAGGACTCAGTTTCATCATCTAAAAGATGAGAGAGTTGGGCTAGATCGCTTCTGAGGTCACTTCCAGCTCTATGTCTATGGTCCCCAGGCTTCTAGTGATGCGAAAGCCTATTCTATATTCTTGGACAGCTCTAATTGTTAGTATGTTTTTTCTTTCATTGAGCCTAAATCTACTTCTACAATCATTTATACAGACCAGAAAGGAATTTCAGAGGTTATCTAGTTCAGCCCTTCATTTTACAGAAGGTAAAACTGAAGTCCAGAGAGTGATTTGTCCAAGATCACACAGCAAGGAAAGGGTAGGATTTGAACCCAAGTCCTGCCAACCAGAAATCCAGTGCTTTCCCTCCCATGGTAACATGTTGCTTATCTATAGTTTCTAATCATTATTTCATCCACATGAAGACAGATATTTCATCTCCCCAAGGCTTTTCTTTTCCAAGCTAAATGTCCCTAGTTGCCTCAACTCCTCTTTTTTTTCTATGTCATAGGATACATGCTGCTATTTAAGGGTCAGAACACCCACGACATGTTTGGTGCCAGACAGAATACGGTGAACATAGACACTAAATACCATGGAATTATAGAAGTGGGGATGCAGAGGATATCTCACCCATCCTTCTCCTTCCAGGCCAAACAACCCTTCTAATGTATTCCAGATAAATAGGAATGTCTCCAGTGTGGAAAAGCTGCCTGAAGATGGCTTTTCACACCCTTCTCTTGAGCTCCCCATCCATGGTGTCCCACCTCTGGCAAGTGCCGGGATTATAAATCCAGATACAAACACGTACAAAACTTACACATAGATTTCTATTTTAATGTTCTTTCCCCTAATAAAATTTAAGCTCCTTGAAGGTAGAGGCTATTTGATTTTTACCTTTGTATTCCTAGTGCCTTAGGCAGTGTCTAATACATAGTAGGTGCTTAATAAAAGCTTGTTGGTGATTGACTCAATTTTGTTCATCTAAAGACCTACTGAGTGTGTAACACTATGCTAGGAGGTGCTAGTCCTCCAAGCATTTGAACTTAATTATAGTATCATATGTAGCAGAATGCCCTGGGATGAGCATAGTAGGACTCAGAGTGAGGAGACCCCAGTTCAAATCCCAGCTATATTTATTACCTGCATGGCCCTACGCAAGTTCACTTCCCCCCTAATGAATATCATTTTCTTCATCTGGGGGTAATAAAATGCTTTGTAATCATTACTATAAAAAATCAGGGCTATGTCTTTGTTCCTCTGAGCCCATGAAAGGGGTAGGACAGAATCCCTTGGGCCTTTCTTCTTCCCTGAACTCCTCAGGTAAGCACTTTTGTGTCTTTAACTGTATTTAATGGTGCTGATTAGGATGGGCTCACATGCCAAAGCCTGGGGGCCAAGTGCACTGGCCACATTTTCTTCTGAGGATGCTTAAAAGATAAAGTCTCAAGTGGCACCTGATCCCCCTGGCATCCCTCTAGGGGGCAGGTGGAAGGTTAAAGGGTGTCCATCGCCCTCTGGGCATCTCTAGCCTCCCTGCTCTGGGCAGCATCACTGGAGAGGAACGGAATTCTTTCTGGTTAAGAAAAACAGACATTTCTACTTCTTGGTTGTTGCTAAGGGCAGCAGAACTTCCTGATGTGGGAGATGGGATTTCAGTGGCTGAGCTGATTCCAACCCTGCTGACTCTGTGCATCAGGTTACAGACACCCTCCCAAAGCTTATGAATTCAGGATTCTACAGCAAGTGGAACACCAGCTTTTCTCTGTGAAAGCCTATCAGAAACGCCCACTGATGTCTACCAGATCATATCCTCACTGACACTATTGTCACAGCCTTCTGCAAATTTCCCAGCGATTTCCTCAGCCTTTCCAAAATGTTGTTCCCATGTATAACCTAACATGAGAAAGTAAGCAGGGGCCCCAAGCAAGAGGGAAAATGCCT